TAAAAAGATTTACAAATGCACTCATTTGACGCACAGATTTACACTCGAACCAAACTATTTTTCTGTTTCTTTCCCTTTTCGGTTATTTCTGTCCATGATTGGATAGAAAAAAAAAAACGAACTACAAATACTCGAAGATTTTTTTGACTTCATTAAAAAATAAAATCGTTTTTGTAGAATGGAAACTTTTTGAGGTCAAAACCCCCCACCCCCAAACTAAAGGAAATAAGTTTTGTTATCCGACATCGATCTTTTAACGTCGAAATAGTACAAAGACAAACACAGTGGTCAATTTGAACGATATTGCCTTCACCCATTTACGTCACAGAAACATCTCACCACTAGAGGGCGTTATTTATAGGAATGATGTGTTCGGTCTTATTTGCTTGCTATACTATATACTAGTATATTAGTATTATATGTCCGCGCACCTCCGATGAGCTGGTTTTGTCAATTGATTTGTTAATTTGTTTTTGCGGGGCTGAAGGGGGAGGCGCGCGCGTGATATCAAAGTCATACACTGATACAGCTCACTTTTAAACTTTAGGCTTGTGAATTATTTTGAGAGCAATATTCATTTTGGTGGATGAACAGAATAGGTTCTTGACCTCCAAAATTAATAATAGGTTAAATGAAAATTTACCATTTTTTGCTACTTTTTTACACCTTCGCAAAACATTTGACTTAGTCGATAGAAACGCACTATTATATAAATAGTCGATGGAAAAATGCACGCTTCCGTCTAATGTATTTATACTAACACAAGCTGGGTGATAAAAATAATATTTTGTGTTTTGTTCTTTCATAGTTATATGTGAGTATTCAATGGCGCACGTCACTAAAATAAACAACACATTACTACAACTGAATAAAAGTAAACAGGTACTGTGTGTTCGACTCGTACAGGCGCTTAATACGCACAGAGACCGTGTCATTCGTTACGTGCAGAGATATGCGTCGGTTTGATCTCAGAGTCCGAGGTTTGATTCAAGCACGCAGTACTTGTTTATTTTGATTTATAGACCTCGTCGTGTTCGATCTCATTCACTTGTCCAACTTTCTATGTTAGCACCTACTATGAGTTTAGTATATTTTTATGATGTTCGGCCTGATAGCCATATGACTTGTACGAGAGAGACTATGGTCTGGCCAAGCTCTGGCATTCCTTTATAGAGGTAATGTAAAAAGCAAATATTCCGTGAAATGCGGTAACAATGATGACAAACAAATGTTGAGGAAGAAAGAATACAGCACTTATGTGTGCTAGCAGTTTAACAAAGCGATTTGAATTGTATGTATCTGCAGCAAAAGGACAAAGGTGACAATTGAAATGCGGGAGATCCAAGGTTAAGCCGAAAATAGATCATTTGAGAAATATGTACCCGTCGATACAAATGAGGGAAAAG